TAGGTAACAAGAGTGAGGAGACCCAGTCTCCAAAAAAAAAAAAAAAAAAAATTAAAGAAAAAGGGCCAGGCTCAGTGGCTCACGTCTGTAATCCCAGCACTTTAGGAGTTGGGCAGATCACCTGAGGTCGGGAGTTCAAGACTGGCCTGACCAACACGCAGAAACCCGTCTCTACTAACAATACAAAATTAGCTGTGCGTGGTGGCGCATACCTGTAATCCCAGCTTCTTGGAAGGCTGAGGCAGGAGAATCACTTGAACCTGGTAGGCAGAGTTTGCAGTGAGCCAAGATTGCGCCATTGCACTGAAGCCTGGGCAGTAAAAGCAAAACTCAGTCTCAAAAAAAAAAAAAAAAAAAAAAAAAAAAAAGCCGGGCGCGGTGGCTCAAGGCCTGTAATCCCAGCACTTTGGGAGGCCGAGGTGGCTGGATCATGAGGTCGAGAGATCGAGACCATCTTGGTCAACATGGTGAAACCCCGTCTCTACTAAAAATACAAAAAATTAGCTGGGCATGGTGGCGCGTGCCTGTAATCCCAGCTACTCAGGAGGCTGAGGCAGGAGAATTGCTTGAACCCAGGAGGTGGAGGTTGCGGTGAGCCGAGATTGCGCCATTGCACTCCAGCCTGGGTAATAATAGCGAAACTCCGTCTCAAAAAAAAAAAAAAAAAAAAAAAAAAAAAGAGGTAAGCATGGGAGGGAGGCTACTAGAACAGCAAGTCAAAATAATTCAGGGATATGGAAGCTTCTTAGACAAGGTCAGGCATCCCCAAACTTTTTACACAGGGGGCCAGTTCACTGTCCCTCAGACCGCTGGAGGGCCGCCACATACTGTGCTCCTCTCACTGACCACCAATGAAAGAGGTGCCTTCCTGAAGTGCGGCGGGGGGCCAGAAAAATGGCCTCAGGGGGCCACATGCGGCCTGTGGGCCGCAGTTTGGGGACGCCTGGACAAGGTCTTTGAGCTGAGTTTTTTGTTTTTTTGCAGGAGGATTTTGTTTAAGACAGGGTTTTGCTCTGTTGCCCAGACTGGAGTGCAGTGGTGCAATCGTGCAATTATGGCTCACTGTAGCCTGGAACTCCTTGGCTCAGGTGATCCTCCCATATTAGCCTCCAGAGTAGCTGGGACTACCGACTCATGTGGCCACACCGGCTACTTTTTGTATTTTTAGTAGGAATGGGTTTTCGGGGTTTTGCCATGTAGCCCAGGTTGATCTTGAACTCCTGGGCTCAAACTCTCCTCCCATCTCTCTCCAAAAGTCCTGGGATTACATGCATGAGCCACTGTGCCTGATCTGAGTTGAGTTTTGAAGGAAAGGCAATGGGGCACAGTATATGTTAAATCACTGTGGAATGAAATAGCATTATACATTTGAGGAAACAAAAACAGTGCAGTTTGGCTGAAGAACAGGATGATATGACAGTGTCATGGTAGGTCAGGTTATAGGGTGGATCTAGATCTATTTATATGCTATGTTAAAATTTGGGCTTTATTCTAAATTTAGAAATCACTAAACTATATTAACTAGAGGAATGACAGAATCATAATCTTCATTTTAGGAAGACTACTCAAGCAGCAGTGATAGTGCAAAGTAGGGTAAGAATGGAGGTAGGAAGGTTTAAAGTATGAAGAAAATAGAATCCATAGGAAGTATGTTACTGGGAAAGAAACTGGATTATGGGGGCTGAGTGAAAGGTACTAGACTCACCGCTGGGCTTCAAGTTTGGATTTAGTGCCACTAAATAAGGTAGGTAATAGAAGAGAAGCAGGTTTTGTTTTCGTTTTGAGGGTAGATGAGAAGGCAAAAAGGGTAATAAATCCAGTCTTTCCTTAAGCTTAAGATACCAGTGGGACACACAGGTGTGCATGTTAGTCTTCTTTCAATGGTATCATCAGGTCAACCACACTTTCTTACAAACGGTTTTTTTTGTTGTTGTTGTTTTTGAGATGGAGCCTCAGTCTCTGAGTGCAGAGGCATGATCTTGGCTCACTGTGACCTCTGCCTCTGGAGTAGCAGGGATTACAGGCACGTGCGACCATGCCTGGCTAATCTTTGTATTTTTTGTAGAGACAGGGTTTTGCCATGTTGGCCAGGCTGGTCTCTAACTCCTGAGCTCAAGTGATCTGCCCGCTTCGGCATCCCAAAGTGCTGAGATTATAGGTGTGAGCCACTGTGCCTGGCCACAAATGTCTCTTGAGAGAGTGAGAGAGAGAGAGAGAGAGAGAGAGAGTGAGTGTATACGTATACATATGTCTTTGAGGCAGCATGTATATATATACACACACACTTACACATATATATATGTCTTTGAGGCAGCATGATTTTTCTGAACTTTTTACGTGCTATGAGGCCCCCTAAAAAGGAATTGGATGAATAAACAGGTTGTATGTTGGTAACTATAAATAGTAACTTAATAATTTGGAGAAATTGTAATCTTAGCAGTTTGGGAAGCCAAGGCAGGTTGATTACTTGAGCCCAGGAGTTGGAGACTAGACTGGACGCCAAAACACTGTCTCTACAAAAAATACAAAAATTACCTGGGTGTGGTGATGTGTGCCTGTAGTTGAAGCTACTCAGGAGGCTAAAGTGGGAGGACCACCTGAGCCGGGGAGGTTGCAGTGAGCAGAGATTACACCGCTGCGGTCCAGCCCGGGCAACAGAGTGAGATCCTGTTTCAAAAAATAAATAATAATTTGGAGAAATAGCCTTTAACATTACAGTACTGTGATCTAAGACCTCATTTCATATATAAGTAAAACATGGCAGCATGAATAACAAGTCCAATCTGCTTTCCATTAAACTGTAATAACAGTAAAGCAGATGTGATAAAATAAGATGGATTACTTTATCTCTTTGAAATTGGTTGGTAGTGTATACTCCATAGCACAACTTCTATTCGCTTTTGCAGTAAAGAAAAAAATTTTTTGAAATGTAACAGATTTTAAATGCAATTTCCCTGTATAGCTATTAATATAATTACTGAACCCAATTTCCTTATGTTATTTTTGTCTTATTTTTCAACCAAGTGCTTCTTACCTATACTGTATTAATTTTTAGAAACATACTAGTACATTAGCATATTTTCTAAGAAACTAAGCACATAAAAATACCCACTATGGTATCTAAAATATTAGTTTTGTCTTTCATGTGTATATTCAAACTTTTTCTTTGACACGGAGTCTCACTTTGTCGCCCAGGCTGGAGTGCAGTGGTGCGATCTTGGCTCCGCCTCCTGAGCTCAAGCAATTCTCGTGCTTCAGCCTCCCCAGGAGCTGGGACTACAAGCGTGCACCACCATGCCTGGCTAATTTTTGTATTTTTAGTAGAGATGGGGTTTCACAATGTTGGCCAAGCTGGTCTCCAAACCCTGGCCTCAAGTGATTGCCCACCTCAGCCTCCCAAAGTGCTGGGATTACAGGTGCGCCCGGCCATATTCACTTAAACATTTAACGACCCAGGAAAACATCCACCTAGGATTTTAAGTTGTATACACAATGCTTTTGTTTCGATCAAAATAGTCTATTCACGACAATATTTGTGAGCCCATTCACTTCTAAGATAACAAATTGTTAGTCTAGCCAGTCTCCTTCAAACTTGTTTTCTCCTTCTACCCACCATCGTCAAGATGCAAAGGAGTTCACTACCTCTTCTTCTCCCAAGGCGGGGTGCGGGGGGGGGGGGAATTGCTCCTCCTCTACCAACCCGGCGAAACACACCCATTCCAGAAAAAGAAAGAAGAGGGGACGCAAAGGGGAATAAGTTATGACCGGAGACCGAGCGCACAAAAATGGGACCAAAGCCCAGGCTCGAGAGCGAGACGAGGAATCGGTCACCACAGCCCGAACATCTTGGCTATTTGCCAGAAGAGAACTGACGGGCAAGTGACGGGCAAGGAAAGAGGGCCCACCTTTGGGGCTGCCTGAACACTAAAAGAATGAAAAAGAAACGTCAGGAATCAGAGACAGGCTGCAGTCCGCCAGAGGGACCAGCCAGGTTAATACCCAGCTCCGAAGGCCAGCACTCGGGTGAGACCCTCGGGAAAGAAACGGCGCCTGGAGATCGCCTGCTCGAAGGAAACTGATAACCAGGAAGCCTAGAACAGCCTCGCTTCCAAAAGTCAGAGTCCCAGCCAAGTGTCTGATAGCCGCCGCCAGACACCGGACCGGGTCTGAGGGCGGGCCTAGGGGCGGAGCCCGAGCTCCTTCCCCGCCCCCTAACGGCGACTCGGGATGCGTTCTCAATGCGCCGACGTAGGGTGAGGCCGGACTCTATTTGGCGATTAAGCGTGCGGCGGCGTTCGCTACCCGGCATGCTGTGCGCTAGTGACGGCCCTCCGCCTATCCCCTTCCCAACCCTACCCCCACCCCTCCCTCCGCGGCCCCCCCTTCCCCTAAAGTGAGTGAGACGGGCAGATGGAGGAGGGACTGTAATGGCGGCGGCCGGCAGCTCCCTGTTCTGACCCACGGCAGGCACACAGCAACGACCCCTTCCCCGCCCCTCTCCTGGCCGGCCTCCGCCCCGCCGCCAGCGCTGGGCCACCCTTTCCAACCTTTCCCCAGCTGTCGGCGTCTCGCCCTGCGCCCCGGCCGGGGCCCCACACACAATGGACGAGCTTGCCGGAGGCGGTGGTGGCGGCCCCGGGATGTCGGCCCCTCCCCGGCAGCAGCAGGGACCTGGGGGGAACCTGGGCCTTTCGCCAGGGGGCAACGGAGCGGCGGGCAGCGGGGGTCCTCCGGCCTCCGAAGGAACGGGTCCCGCGGCAGGCCCCGAGCTGTCCCGGCCGCAGCAGTACACTATCCCTGGGATACTGCACTACATACAGCACGAGTGGGCTCGGTTCGAGATGGAGCGGGCGCACTGGGAGGTGGAACGGGCCGAACTGCAGGTACCTCGCTGGGGTCGGTGTCCGGGACGGCTGCGGGGCCGGGGTTCCTAGCCGGGGGGTGGGGCCGGGACTCCTCTCAGCCGGAGCCGGCGCCTCGGGAGGCCGAGCGAAACCTACCTGTGCTACTTGGGGTGTGATAGTCTTCTCAACGGCTTTCCTGGCGTTCCCCTCCCTCTTTCCCGCAGAAGCTTGCTCCCCAGGCTTCACTAGCTACGCTGTGCGGCCCTCCTCGGGGCAGCCATTTTGGCTTTTAGTATGGCGTCTGCGGGGGCTCCTCCGCAGGCGGCCTTCCCGGGCCTCCAGGGCTTGAGTCCGGGTTGGGGCCGCTCGACACTGAGTTTGCTCTTGTTTGTTCCTCTTGAAATGAGGAGCCCAATGAGAGGGACTGGGATAGGCATCTTACCCCCTTTTCCCGGACCACCCCCTTTTCCGATTTGGCATATCGGGCCCCCTCCCTCAGACTTGGTACGCGCTTGCCCCTTGACAGCTACTCTTTCCTGGGCGGCTGCGGTCCACAGTGAGTTGCAACTGACCTGTGAAGTTTTATTTCCCGTCGTCAACTTTAAGTACTTCTTACCTGAGATGCTGCCTTACTCACTTGGATTCTCTGTAGTTATTCCTTACTTAGTGACTCATCAACGCTTTTAGCACTGAATTTTTCTTTTTAGAGTACTCTTCACTAGACCTCCTTTCCACATCCCTTTCTTTACCGTAAAAAACCACACCAGACTGACTGTGCTGTATTTATGAAACGACTGAAAAGATTTAAGTCTGAAGTGAAACGTTGTATCATGTTACTTACTCGTGCAGGAGAAGAAAAGTGAAATGTCCTCAGGACCCTTCATAGTTGAGCTTGACTCGTTCCTTATAATGTGAACCTTTGATAGGCTACACGTTTGGAAGATGTTGGTCGTTAACAGCTCATGTCCTGGATCTCAAAATAGGCTACACGTTTGGAAGATGTTGGTGGTTAACAGCTCATGTCCTGGATCTCAAAATTGGCGCATCTTTTTGAAAGGATTATTTAACTTTCTTGGGTATTTGTGTTTATTTTTAAATACCTTTGCAGGGCAAATTTAGGCTTAGAAGAGAGGGAAAAAAAATACATCTAAATAGTATTGCACCTGTTCTTCAGACTGTTGTATATTTAGAGGAGGTAAGCGGTATTTGCTGTCATATATGTCATATGCTTATAGTGAATAGTTAGGCAAATGTAGTGTTGAAAGGAGGAGGACTGGATTAACTAGAAAGGGTGTCCTCAAACAAATATGAATCTCTTTAGTTTGGTGCTGAACTAGTAAACTTTTATGTGACTCCACAAAGTGGGTGAAGTTAAACTTTTGAAAAGTAAAAAATATTTAGGTATTTTGACACTGTATGAAGTCTTAAAAAATTGTAACATTTGTTAGTCATTTCAGTGCTTTACAGTTGTGTTTTGATATAATATTGGGCTTTAAAAATACATTAACTTTCAAAAAGCTGAAGTCATAGCTGTGGTTTCTTTTAAGTTGGATACGTCTGCTTTAAATACTTAAGATTTATAGAATTTTGTTGGTACACAGCTTTCTACTACATCATGCCGCAAACTTAATTCTCTGTGTGAGTAAAGTGAGTAACGCATTTATTTTCAAAATTTGCATTGACAAATGCATTAAGGCTTAAGCTCACTAAATAATACTTCACCATTCCCCAGTTTGGTTTTTTCCGACCTTTGTACTATTGTATGCAAGTTTGGATTTTAACATTCTTCAAGTTAGCAATTGCATTTTTCACCTATAAACTTCACTAATGTAAGCAGCTGAGAAGAAAGAGATCTTGTGTCCAAATTAGTAAGACCTGTTCATTAATGAAGCCTTTATTCCCTTTAGCATTTGCTTTCCCTTCTAGGTCTTCTCTCTTTTACGGCAACAGAAGAGTGTTTTAAGGACGATTCCTCTTGCTTGCTTGCTTTCAGTTCTACTATTGGTATAGTAGTTCTGATATAGCCATCCTAAGTTTTTGTTTCCTTGTTTTGAAAAAGTCCTAGAGTGTTTCTAGACTCTTTATTTCATACTGATTCTTTTGTAGTAAAATGCTCATGTTGGTGTTGGTTTTTTTTTGTGTGTGTGCTATATATTTATAATGTTTTATTGAGTTACTTAGTAGAATTTCTAGTTTGCATCAGGATATTGAGTTTGCGTTAGGTGCCTTCAGTCTACTGAGATTGCTTGTGAGATGCATGTTTTTTTTTTTTTTAGACGGGGTTTCACCATGTTGGTCAGGCTAGTCTTGAATTCCCGACCTCAGGTGATCCGCCCGCCTTGGCCTCCAAAGTACTTGGATTATAGGCGTGAGCCACCACGCCCGGCCGCATGTTTTAAAATGTATGTGTTGAATACAAGTTTGTGGGAGGGTTGTAGTGAAGCATCAGTGGATTTTTACTGTAAACTTATATTTATTTTTAAGAAAGACAACCTAGAAATAAGACAACTTACATATTATTATGTACAGTCTATGGTGCATTGTCAATCTGCACATATTTTCAGTGTTAATTATTGAATAGTTTCAATAGTGAACATACAGAGCTTAAGGAGTACTTCATATAGATATAAAATTTTAGTAGGGAATTATATTTACCCTGGCTTTGAAAAAGATATTAAAAGGAACTTTGCAGTATGATTCTGTTCTCTGTAAAAATAATTTGGAGTAAAGGTCTGTCTTAGAAACTTGGAACTAAACCAAAGGATCATGTCTTAAAGCTCTTTTGTCTCTGATTCTTCCTTGCCTTGGACTTAGGTAAAGCATTGTTAGTACGGTTGTAGGACGATAGTTTCTAAACAGTAGTGCCTGTCAGAATCACTTGTAGAACTTTAAAAAATATGCAGGCCTCTTATCCTCTGGAGATCTGGATTGATCTAGGGCTTGAAGAAAATGGACTGTCTGTGGAATTTTGGTAATTCATATTATGTAAAAGTTAGAAACTGCCATTTAATCAGCAGTATAACATGATGAGGTAGGTATTCCTGTTTTACAGGTGAGGAGACAAATTTAGGTAGGTTAAATAATTTTGCCAGGGTCACCTAGCCATAAGGTATTGCAGCTAAGATCTGAACCCAGGTCTATCTGATGATTCCAAAGCCTGTGGTCATATCACCACTCTTGTAACCATTATGTTATACTGTCTTAGCATTTTTGTTTTCACAAGTTTATTTACAGACATATCTAATATACTATATGAGTTCGAGTTTGATCCAATTTCCGGAGACTACCTCTTAAAATGCTCTTCATATCTGTTAAATGGATGAACTGAAACATCCTTATTTTTTAAGCAGTTGGTGTCTTACTATAAAGAAGGGTGTAGCAAATCTAGATCCAAAGTACAAACCCATCATAGCTAGTAACCGCCACTTGTTTTCCACCGAAAATGGCAAATTTTTTTCAGGGTCCTCCTCACAGTGGCATCTGCAGAGCACAGAGGTTGTGAACCTCTGGATGCTCTGGCCCAACATAACCCTCCTGGAAGCTCTGCGAAAGGCACAGAAACCAAGGATGGAAGAAGTAGCATTTTTAGTAGAGTGGAATCTGACTTGTAATTCTTTTTCTAGCATTGTGTGGCCCACACCACTTGAGTGCATTTCAATAAAGTTTTATTGAGCCCCCGTAATGATGCTGTGAGGCCTAGTTGATATATATTGCTGAAGTGTCCTTATGTTTTTCTTTGTAGTTTGTATGTAATAAGTATACTTTGGGGGTATATACAAAATGCTTGTTTGCCAAGTGTAAAAATATGACATAGCTAATACATAGAAAATGTAGTCAAACTGTTTATATGCTATAACTACTGATTTTCCAGCAAATGTGAAAAAAAATTTTTTTTCCTCTGTCAACCCAGGCTGGAGTGCAGTGGCTTGATTTCAGCTCACTGCAACCTCTGCTTCTCAGGTTCAAGCAATTCTCCTACCTCAGCCTGTGGTAGCTGGGACAACAGGATTGCACTACCATGCCTGGCTATTTTTTTTTTTTTTTTTTTTGTATTTTTAGGGGAGACAGGGTTTGAACATGTTGGACAGGCTAGTCTTATACTTCCTGACCTCGAGTGATCCACTCGCCTCGGCCTCCCAGAGTGTACTGCACGGTCCCAAAATTTTAATTAGCATTTGCATTTATACTCTTTAGCATACAGATTGGTCGTAACATGACAGATGTTACTACTTAAAGATCCTTAAGTTAGTAGGAGACATTTTGCTTAGACATTACTTGATTTCTTTTAAGGGGGAAAACTTTGAACTGTTTCTCCTGAATTTTCTATTTTCAGGGTTTTCAAAAACGGGTCTGGAATAGTGATTTCCAAATCCTAGTGTCTTTTCCATGAGAAGATTTTAATAACTTTACCATGAAATTACAAAAAAGAAAAATGTTGTGATATTTCATAATGGTGTTCTCTTTATTCTGGGATTTTTAGCCTTCATACGTTTTTACTGTTATGTGTTTACTTTTTCAGATGGTATTTCATAGTGATGTTCTCTTTATTCTGGGATTTTTAGCCTTCATACGTTTTTACTGTTATGTGTTTGCTTTTTCAGATGATGGTGAAAATCGAGTTAAAAAATTTTTATTGATAGGATTAAGGGAGTCCACTACCTTGTATCAGATTTCCTGTTTCTTTTTGAAGCCCTTGAAATAAAGTTTAGGGACCACTAATCTAGAATTCTCTTTATGCTCCTCCCCTCCCCATTAACTCCACTCTATAGCCTGCTTTTTGCTCTACTTTCCCTTCACTCCCCTCTGAACACTTTTAGAACACTATTTTTCTGTTCATGGTTGACCTTCAGATTGCCAAATCCTGTGGCCTTATAGACCATGTGTATGTACTTAACCAGGCGTCCCCAAACTAGGGCCCACGGGCCCCTGAGGCCATTTATTCGGCCCCCTGCTGCACTTTAGGAAGGGGCACCTCTTTCATTGGTGGTCAGTGAGAGGAGCACAGTATGTGGCAGCCCTCCAACGGTCTGAGGGACAGTGAACTGGCCCCCTGTGTAAAAAGTTTGGGCACACCTGTACTTAACCAACACTTTCTGCTGTTGACAAATTCTTCAAAATTATTTTGTTTTGCTTCCACTGTTTTTCCTGTGGTCCACTTACCACTTTTCTTCATATGTTTTCTTTCTTTTGTTCCCAGTTGGTGTTATGTGGGGTTCTGCTTCTATTTTATATTTTTACTGTATATTCAGAATCAGATTTTTAGCTACCATGTACCATCTTAATAATGACTAAAATTTATTGTTTACTCTTTCCTAAGTGTTATTCCAGTGCTTCAGTATTTACTCATTTAATTCTCAAAACAACTCAGTGAGGTTGATACAGGTATAATTGGCTTCTTTTTTTTGTTTTTCCTGACACTGGCATATTGAGGCTCAGGTGAACTAATTTGTGCGACTAGGAGGCCTTAGAACTGGGATTTAAACTTAGACTACCTCTAGTGGCCATGTTCTTAACCACTGCTAGATTTTTGGTCTCCAGATGTCCCATGTATTTCTAACTTCCTGTTTAATTTTTCTACCTCCAGTTCAATGGATCCATTCAGTTAATCTCAAGTGCCTGCCTCTTCCCCTTGACAAAACACACTTGCTCATTCTTTATTCCTTCCCGCATTAAAGTTAACACTATCCTCCCCATCACTAGTGCTATAGAGGTCATTGAATCTTCCCCCTGTGTATATTCGGACTCTGAGTTTTTTTGATTCCAGCATAATTATTTGGTGAATATATTTGAGTGTGATTTTGTGCTAGATGCTGGGTGTATAATGATGTCCTTTGAGAGCTTATACTGTAGAATTCTTTTTTTTTTTTCCAAGAGAGGGTCCCACTCTGTCGCCCAGGCTGGAGTACAGTGGTGCCAACATGGCTCACTGTAGCCTCAACCTCTCGAGCTCAAGTGATCCTGCTGCCGCAACCTCCCAAGTAGGTGGTACTACAGACATGTACAACCACACCAGGCTGTTTATATTATTCTTTGAGATGGGTTCTCACTTTGTTACCTAGACTGGTTTCGAACTCCAGGGCTTAAACAATCCTCCTACCTCATCCTCCCAAAGTCCAAAGCGTTGGGATTACAGGTATGAGCCACTGCGCCTGGCCAACAAAATCTAACAAACAACAAATTAATAGAATGCTAAGAAAATAAATGGTGATAGGAATCCTGTATAATATTTATTGAACACTTTCTTTTTTTTTTTTTTGAGACAGAGTCTCTCTGTGTCACCAGGCTGGAGTGCAGTGGCATGATCTTGGCTCACTGCATCCTCCACCTCCTGGGTTCAGGTGATTTTTTTTTTTCTTTTTTGAGATGGAGTCTCTCTCTCTCTTTTGCTTAGGCTGGAGGGCAGTAGCGTGATCTTGGCTCACTGCAACCTCTGCCTCCCACACTCAAGTGATTCTCCTGCCTCAGCCTCCCAAGTAGCTGTGACTGCAAGTGTGTGCCACCATGCCCGGCTAATTTTTTTTTGTATTTTTAGTAGAGGCAGTGTTTCACCATATTGGTCAGGCTGGTCTTGAACTCCTAACCTCATGATCCACCCATCGCAGCCTCCCAGAGTGCTGGGATTATAGGCGTGAGCCACCGTGCCCAGCGTTCAGGCAATTCATATGCCTCAGTCTCCCGAGTAGCTGGAATTGCAAGCACCTGCCACCATGCCCAGCTAATTTTTGTATTTTTAGTAGAGATGGAGTTTTGCCATGTTGGCCTGGCTGATCTCGAACTGCCAACCTCAAGTGATCCACCTGCCTTGGCCTTCTACGCCTGATCTATTGCACACTTTCTGTGTGCCCAACATTATTTTAGATTCTTCAATACATTTAATTCTCATAAAGTTCCTATATGTATACTTTTAGATCTGAAGCATCCCACTTGGAAGCTGTAGCATTTAGCAGAAGTTCTAAAGCAGGAAAGAGCTATGTTGAAATTGTGTGAACTGGCCAGATGTTGTGGCTCATGCCTGTAATCCCAGCACTTTGGGAGGATCACTTGAGCCCAGGAGGTGGAGACCAACCTGGGCAACAGTTGAGACCCTGTCTCTAAAAATGAAAAAAAAAAGTCTGTGAACTGGACTATAATGATTCAAGAGGCTAAGTAATACAGGTAATGTCAGTATCCTAAAATATATTCTAATTCACTGATTCTTGGTTTTTGGGGGATTGTAGTCCCCCTTGTGTATATGATGAAAGCTATAGAGCCTCTTTGAGTTTTTGCGTTTTTTTTTGTTTGTTTGTTTGTTTGTTCATTTTTTAACAAAAGGGTAAGAAAATTTTGCTTAGAATGCCGGTGAAGCCTGATTACTGCCCTAAGGAAGTAACTGATTTAATCTGTATTTTCATTTCTGTACTAGCATTGCCTTAGTTCATAGTGCTCCTCCTGGCAGAATTCTCTTGAGATAATCTCCTGACAAGTTTGTTCCATCCATTGCCCCTCTTAACAGTTTATCCTTTTTGTCATAAATACGATTGCATTATGTATTACCCTCCTTTAACTTTTTTATGAAAAGTTCCAAACATGTGCGAAAATAATACAGTATTGTGACCTCCCACAGACCTGTCACTCATCTTAAACAGTCACGACTCATGATCAGTCTTATTTTACCTGTACTTCTATCCAGTCCTTGTCCATTCCAAATCATTATTATCTTATTAATTTTTAAAAGACAAGGTCTCACTATGTTGCCCAGACTGAAGTGTAATGGCGTGATTGTAGCTCATTGCAGCTTCAAAACTCCTGGGTTCAAATGGTCCTCCCACCTCAGTCTCCCAAATAGCTTGAACTGTAAGCACATGCCACCATGTCTGGCTAATTTTTTTTAGTAGAGACAGGAATCTTTTTTTTTTGAGATGGAGTTTCGCTCTTGTTACCCAGGCTGGAGTACAATGGCGCGATCTCGGCTCACCGCAGCCTCCACCTCCTGGGTTCAGGGAATTCTCCTGCCTCAGCCTCCTGAGTAGCTGGGATTACAGGCATGCGCCACCATGCCCAGCTAATTTTTTGTATTTTTAGTAGAGACGGGGTTTCCCCATGTTGACCAGGATGGTCTCGATCTCTTGACCTCGTGATCCACCCACCTCTGCCTCCCAAAGTGCTGGGATTACAGGCTTGAGCCACCGGGCCTGGCCAGAGATGGCGGTCTTTCTATATTGTCTAGGCTGGTCTTGAGATCCTGGCCTCAAGCAATCCTCCTACCTTGGTGTCTCAAGAGTGCTGGGATTAAAGGCATGAGCCACTGTGCCTGGTGTTTTTTGTTTTCTTTTTTAATTAAAAAAAAAATTTTTTTTTTTGAAACAGAGTCTCGCTGTATTGCCCAGGCTGGAGTGCAGTGGTCTGATCTCAGCTCACTGCAACCTCCACCCACTGGGTTGAAACAATTCTCATGCCTCAGCCTCCGGAGTACTGGTATTACAGGCGTGCCAGCATGCCCAGCAAATTTTTTGAATTTTTAGTAGAGGTGGGGTTTTTAGTAGAGGTG